GGAAAATCAGAAATCAGTTACACAGATGCAAACACCCTGAAAATCAGAATACAGGTATAAGCAGTTATTAAAAAGAATAGTAACCAACCTGGGCATGCTTGCTTGCTCACTCTCTCTCTCTCTCTCACACACACAAACGCGTGTGAGCATGTGTACACACACATACACCTGTAATCCCAGCACCATGGAAGCAAAGGCAGGATTCTTTGCTTCAGGTGTCAAGTATCGAGGCCAGCCTGGGCTACACAGCAAGTTCAAGGTGAGCCTCAGCTACAATGAGATGTCCCATCTTAAAAAAAAATTAAAAGGCCATGACCAAGTGAGTCACATACAAGATAGTCAACTATTAACCAAGATTCATTGGTGAGTTTGTCAGTGTAATTCATTACACTGACAGGTTAGAGAAGAAAGATAACCTCTGTAGGTGCAATGCATTCGAGATACATGTTTAATTATCACACCAGAAAACAAAGCATACTTACTCATTTTGATAAGTTATCTATAGAATACTACAGCAAACATACTCAACAGTCAAGCAAAAGTCTCCCTCTGAAATCAGGAATTAGACAGGGGTATCCTGTGTTATCACTTCTAAAATCAGACGGGTCAGGCCTGGCAGGGAACAAACAGAATTTCTATTCACAAAGGACAGGACTGTGAATACAGAAAGCAAAATGCCAGCAGTGAGAGGCACTGCCCAAGAGGCTAAGGTTCAAGCTCTGCCGCACTTCCATGCAGATGGGAAGTACACTCACAGCAAAACTTAAAACCAAAGACAGGCAAGACGGACAGTGCAGCTCCAGTCAGGTGGAAAGAACAGCGTTGTCCTCTGACCTCCACATGTGTGCCGAGGTGCACACGCATGTACACACACACCTGAGTGAAGTGCCTAGCACTACATCCAATAAGAGCAGAGCACCGCTTCAGGACAGAAGCCAGGAACATAATGCAAAGGTATTACAGGGATGAAAAAGAAATGCATGTATAGCCTCTTGATGTGGAAGAGTCAATACTGTGAGATATCAGCTCTTCCCAAGGTGACTAAAGTCCAGGTCATAATGAAAATCCCAAAGGAGTAGGCAAGGACAGTAACCAGACATGTGGATGCTTAAGTTACACGAAGCCTTGAAGGACTAGTGGTAGCCAGGGTACTCTTGAGGAGGGGAAGAAGGAAGAACTACATTATCAGGTATCAAAAGATGGTGGAATTTATTTAGAAAGAACAATTGAACAGAGGTCAGACACAGAGCCACACATTTTCCAATAATTGATAAACTAGATGAAAAAGGTAATTTCCAACAATGCAGAGAGGGTCATACTGAACAGAAGCAAGCCAATTCTTCTCATGATCACAAAAATCAACTCAAGGGTAATGAAGTGTACAGCAATAGCCATACAAACTATTTTATGTTCAAAACTAAATGTATTAAATACCCCAGCAAGAAGTAGCTTAAGGTCAAGAATCGGATTGTCAGGGTCCTCTTACTTCTTACACAATACACTGTAAGGCAATCCGCTAGTCCCTGAAGTCCTCGCTAGAGCAGTGAGACAACTGAAGAGATCAAGGGTACAGACTGGAAAGGAAGAGGTCAAAGCGTCACTGTTTGCAGATGATGTGATAGTGTACATGAGCAACCCCAAAAACTCTACCAGGGAACTCCTACAGCTGATAAACACCTTCAGCAAAGTGGCTGGATACAAAATTAACTCCAAAAATCAGTAGCCCTCTTGTATACAAAAGACAAAAGGGCTGAGAAAGAAATTAGGAAACAACACCCTTCACAATAGCCACAAATGACATAAAGTACCTTGGTGTAACCCTAACCAAGCAAGTCAAAGACTTGTATGAAAAAAATTTCCAGTCTTTGAAGAAAGAATTAGAAGATATCAGAAGATGGAAAGATCTCCCATATTCATAGTAAATATGGCCATGTTATCAAAAGCAATCTACAGATTCAATGCAATTCCCATCAAATTACCAACACAATTTTTTTACAGACCTGGAAAGAAAAATTCTCACCTTCATGTGGAATAACAAGAAACCCAGAACTACTAAAACAATCCTCTACAATAAAAGATCTTCCGGAGGTATCTCTATCCCACATCTCAAGATGTACTATAAAGCAACAGTAGTAAAAACTGCATGCTACTGGCATAGAAACTGACTGGTGGATGAATGGAATCAAACAGAAGACCCTGAAATAAACCCACGCACTTATGGACACCTGATTTTTTAACAAAGAAGCCAAAACTATACAATGGAAAAAAGACAGCATCTTCAACAAATGGTGCTGGTCCAACTGAATGTCTACATGTAGAAGATCCATACTTATCACCCTGCACAAAACTAAAGTCCAAGTGGATCAAAGACCTCAATATAAAACCAGACACACTAAACCGCTTAGAAGAAAAAGTGGGGACGAGCCTTGAACTCACTGGCACAGGAGACAACTTCCTGAACAGAACACCAACAGCACAGGCTCTAAGATCAACAATCAATAAATGGGACCTCATGAAACTGCAAAGCTTCTGTAAAGCAAAGAACACTGTTGTCAGAACAAAATGCCTATAGATTGGGAAAGGCTTTTCACCAACGATATATCTGAATGAGGGCTAATATTAAGAATATATTAAAAACTCAAGTTAAACAGCAACAAATCAAGTAATCCAATTAAAAAATGGGGTACAGAGCTAAATAGAGAATTCTCAGTAGAGGAATATCAAATGGCAGAGAAACATTTAAAGAAATGTTCAACGTCCTTAGTCATCAGGGAAATGCAAATCAAAATGACCCTGAGATTTCACCTTACACCCATTAGAATGGCTAAGATAAAAAACTCAAGTGACAACACATGCTGGAGAGGATGTGGAGAAAGGGAAACCCTCCTCCATTGCTGGTGGGAATGTAAACTTGCACAACTACTCTGGAAATCGATCTGGTGTTTTCTCAGACAATTAGGAATAGTGCTACCTCAAGTTCCAGCTATACCACTCTCAGGCATATATCCAAAAGAGGCTCAAGTGTACAACAAGGACATTTGCTCAACCATGTTTGTAGCAGCTTTATTCATAATAGCAAGAACCTGGAAACAACCCAGATGTCCCTCAACAGAGGAATGGATACAGAAATTGTGGTACATCTACACAATGGAATACTATTCAGCAATTAAAAACAAGGAAATCATGAAATTTTCAGGCAAGTAGTGGGAAATAGAAAAAAAATCATCCTGAGTGAGGTATCCCAGAAATAGACACACAGGGTATATACTCACTCATAAGTGGATATTATACATATAATGTAGGATAAACATACTAAAATCTGTACATCTAAAAAAGCTAATGAAGAAGGAGGGTGCTGGGTAAGATGTTCAATCCTCATTCAGAAAGGCAAAGTGTATGGACATCAGAGGAGGGAGAAAACAGGAATCAGGGAAGAAGCCTACCACAACGGGCCTCTGAAAGACTCTATTTTGCAGGGTATCAAAGCAGATGCTGAGACTCATAGACAAACTTTGGGCAGAGTGCAAGGAATCTTCTGAAAGAAGGGGGAGATAGAAAGACCTGGAGAGGACAGGACCTCCACAAGGAGAGCAACAGAAACAAAAAATCTGGGCCCAGGGGTCTTTTCTGAGACCAATACTCCAACCAAGGACCATGCATGGATATAGCCTAGAACCCCTGCACAGATGTAGCCCATGGCAGCTCAGTGTCCAAGTGGGTTCCCTAGTAATAGGAACAGGGGCTGTCTCTGACATGAACTGATTGGCCTGCTCTTTCATCAGCTCCCCCTCTGGGGGGTGCAGCCTTATTGGGCCACAGAGGAAGACAATGCAGCCACTCCTGATGAGAACTGATAAACTAGGATCAGAAGGAAGGGGAGGAAGACCTCCTCTATCAGTGGACTGGGGAGGAGCATGGGTGGAGAAGAGGGAGGGAGGGTAGGATTAGGAGGAGAAGGAGGAGGGAGCTACAGGTAGGATACAAAGTGAATAAACTATTATTAATACAAATTTTAAGAAAAAAAAAAGAAAAAAGCAATCCATTGCAGACCTGTCAAAGAAGAGAGAAGATACGAACCAACAAAATCAGTTCCTAAGAGTGAGCAGAGCAGTACAAGCCTTTATGAAACCAAGACAGATGGATCACTCCAATCTTGCTTACACAGCAAAATTTAAGACAACCAGGGCTACACAGTAAGACTTTAAAATAATTTCCAGAAGTAGAAATACTGTTTAGATCTCAACATCTTAAAAGTATTTTTTCTAGTTCTGTCAATTAAAATGGCCCAGTAGCCATAAAAATCTTGTAATAAGAAGTGTTCCAAGCACCCAAACTAGTCTCTGAGTACTAATCCCCAAATAAATGAAAATGAAAACAACTGATTCCAAGTCTTGGGCATAAAAGATAACTCAAACCCAGGATCTTGAAAGCACGACTCTCCCTGACTTGACCTAACAGGAAAGCCACAGACCTAGAACAACCTCAAACCCAAGTCTGAGTCTTTACCCAAGAGTCAGTGTGTGCCACTGAGACAGAACCCAGAGCATGATCAAATCTGCACAGCATGTGGCTCAGTTTCCCCAACAAATAGATGGAGGTATAAAAGGATAAACTGACAAATACAGCAACCAGGGCAACACCAGAATTTCATCTGGACTTGAGGCAATCAAATAAAGGTTTGCTGAGTGCAGTGATTAAGAAGTGATCAAAACTTAAATGGTACAAAATACCCCATACAAGTTAGCAATTTACCTACTAATTAAAAATACACCACACAAGACAGTGGACAGGTGAATGGATGCACTTCTCCAGGGAATGTAGTGTTTTGGGTGAATTAATTCAAACTAGATGAGTGAAAACAGCAAGGCATTTAGAGAATATAGAATAGGCTCGTGTCCTAAGGTAACAGGATTTACAACACAAAAATCAAGATCACTGAAACAACACTGTTATATCACAGAGCTGCAGAGACATCCACTTCCCACTTTCCAGGTACTTACTGCTGGTAAGAGAGACTGCATGTTTTGATTAGAATCTGCTATTGTTGCAAGGTATACCAGGTTTGTATGCAACATCTGCTGATACCTATTAAAACAAAACAAATACCGACATTAAAAAAAAAAAATCTTTCTACCTGTTTCAATACAAACAGCATAATTATTTTTAGAAGTTAATGAAAGATGTGTTACCTGAACAACAGCACTTCAACTTACCCTATTTCCTCTGCAAAATGATTCCAAATGATACGTAACACATTTCCGGTAATGGAGAGCAGAGCAATCTCCCCATGTGCTAAACATGTTCTAGGTACTTTCTAACTGCACATGTCTCAGTCAATACATAAACCAGCATCATGAATGTACTGGCTGGTTTCGTGTCAACTTGACAAGCTAGAGTCATCAGAGTGGAAGGTGCCTCTGCTGAGGAAATGCCTCTATGAGATCCAGATATAAGCCATTCTCTCAATTAATGATCAATGGGGCAGGGCCTACACTATTGTGGGTGGTACCATCTCTGGGCGGGTGGTTCTGGGTTCTATAAGAAAGCAGACTGAGCTTAGAGACTGCCGAGTCACCCAAGATTCCACGGCTGGTCAAGGGGATGCTGACACCCAGCGTCAGACATACTTTAAGTTTTACGAGAACTAAAATAAAGGGGCGCAATGAAGTGTGCTTGTCACCCCACACTTCCGTATGCTTTTGTTGTGGTTGTTGTTTGGAGACAAGATCTCACTATATAACCCTACTGGCCTAGAATTCAGTATGTAGACCAGGCAGGCCTCAAAATCATAGAGATCCACCTGCCTCTGCTTCCCAAGTGCTCCACTGCCATTTGCATCTTACCGAAAGCTTCAAACCAAGGTACAGTCCATACACACTTCCTTTTGCAGTTGTCACAGTTGATTTTAGCAAAGGTTCCAACCCTCGTCTACAAGAACATGTTTACCAACATAATGGGCAAGGTACTATTCAATCACCGTAAAAATGCTATAGCAGACATGAACAAAATGACGGAACACTAAAATCAGGAACAATTTACTTTAAAACTATAACTCAAATTCTTAATATCTGGACCTTATGGTTAAATATAACTAGAAAAATGGCTTTCGGTAATATTGCTTAATAATTAAAGTCACTTTATAACTTTAAAATTAAATCATATAAAAACAGAAACACACTGATCTAATTACTGTTTGATTTTAGGACATGAATAGAGCAAGCCCCATAAATACAAATTTAAAACCTCCACCAAAATGTCCAACTGTTTTAAGATTTCATTTTCCCCAGGCCCAGCATGGTGGCACAGGCCTGTGAGCCCAGCACTTGAGAGGCTGGTGCGGAAACACAGGCTACCCTGGGAATACAGCAAGACCAAGTCTCAAAAGCTGAAACTTATTATAGAAACTAGCTATAAATTTAAAATGAACATGTCAAAAGAATTTTATTCAAATAAATGAAGTATTCTAATTCAGATCCAAATTGAAATAATTCTCTGACTTTGCTGTAAACAACCAACCGCAGTTACCTAACGAGGGACAGGCCTGGTTCTTTACTGATCACAGCTCCCTTATTAAAAAGCCTATACTTTTAGTCCTGTTCCTCACATACACCTAATCTGAAAGGGGCCATTTTTATAAGGTCCTTGGGTAAATAAGAACCAAGAGTAATTTTATGATTAATTATGTTTTTGAAATTTTTCAAACTGACAGCAAACAGTTTGAACTGTTTCATTATCGCGTATAATGGAACCTAACACTATCTTGTTCTTACACAAAAATAACCAAACCGTTTTTTTTTTTGGGGGGGGGGGGGGAATATGGGGTAAACAGGTTTTCTCTGTCTATCCCTGGCTGTCCTGGACTCATTTTACAGTCTGTAGATCAGGATGGCCTCAAACTTAAGAGATCTGACTTCATTCTGGTCTCTGCTTCGTGAGTGCCGGGATTAAAGGTGTGTATCACCATGCCCAGAACCTCAAATAGCCATTTTTAAACTTTTATCTATGGAGCAGTATGAAGGCCACAACTCTTCTGCCTCCACCATGTGGGTCCTGGGCAAGCACCTTTATGTGTACACCAGCTGGCAGGCCCAAGCAGCCCTTTTAATTAGGACACAACCTGACCTCAAAGGCTACATTCTAAAGTCCTCCTTTCCTTCTCTGAGCTTTCTGAAGAGCACTGGCTACACCATGGCAAATAAAAATGCCCAAACGGACGACTGTGCCCACACCTAATCCTAACAAAACTTATTTCTTAGGGTGATTAGCCTTAACAAGCCAACCTTAGAAAGCTACTAAATGCCCTGTGCTTGATTTCATTGTCTCATAGGAGTTAAAGACGGCCTCTAAAGCCTCTTGCAGGCTTAAGTGTCTATACTCAAAATGTAACTCGGCTAAATTTTCAAGATATTTACCCAACTGTTCTGAACATCAAATCTAACTCTTAATTTTGAAATGATTTTAAATTTTCAGAAAAGTTTCAGGAATGTATGGGGGAAACTTTTTACATCTTCCTCCCAAATTTCTGAACAGCATTTTATACTTTTGCCCTATCATTCTGTCTCATGTCTATGCACACATGCATTTTGTCAAAACCATTTAACAGTCCCTTGTAAACATGATACCCAAACCAACCACCCAGACAAGGGCACCAACAACGATTATGGTACCCCATCTAATCCAGGGACCCCATCCGAGGCACCCTACTGCCTGTAAATTCTTTCCCTAACTTAAGAAGGTGGACAAAAGCAAGTTTATTTGTGGGTTCTATTTTTTGTTGTTTTGTTTTTGAGACAGGGTCTCAATTTAAAGTTCAGGCTGGCCCCAGAACTAACGTCATAGACCAGACTGGCCATTAACTCAGCAATTTTACCTTTCTTTATTTTGGAATTAGTAATCCACTTGCCTCAATCTCCAGAGTGCTAAGACTACAGGCAGATTTCAATAAAGCAGGCTAGCAAGTGCTCTTTGGCATAAAACAGCAGTAAGAAAAACAATATTCACCAAAAAACTAAGACAAAACAAGTCCGAAAAATTATTAACAAAAACCTGGTTACTTATTTTTTTTTCTCATTCTCATCTGAGTTTGTATATAAGTAACCTAAAATAATTTTTTTTAAAAAAAAATCATCAACAACAAAAACACACAGGAGAATCCAAATTCAGCTCAGACTGTGAAAATGAAAGAAAAAAAAAACAACAAACCTTTTCCTGAGAAATTTTGTGTTCTAGTCTATAAATACCATCCACTTGTCACTGAAGTCCTTATGAGTGTGTGCTCTTGTACACTTCAGTCAGCGATGAAGCAGGCATCCCCACTGCTCCCACTATGCCCTGCTAAGCAACACCACTGCCATAGCTCTGTGCAGTGTGCTCTGTGATGTTTACACAATGGCCAACAGTGCCTTTTATGGTGCCCCTATCTTTAAACACAACTGTACCTTCTTTACAATACTATGCTAACAGAAATACATAAACAGGAGATTACCAATCATATTCAGCATCTTATTTGTGATGAGGGTAATGGCTAGAAGCCAGCTGCACTTACAAGAGCCACTTAAATGCTATGTTGATGATTGTACGGTCCTAACAAGTTCTGACAGATACTTCCAAATGCCTACGATCACTATGAAGAGAGAGCTCAGCTCCCAAAGACTTCAGTAAAAGATAAGATGTGTTCTTGTTTAAGGCAAAATAACCAGTCCTAATTTTATTAATTAAAATTAATCTGAAAAGTGTACTTTTAATTTAAAAATAAATTTAAAAAAGCACATTTACTCGATGTCAAACTACAGTTTACAGAATAAAAAATTATTTTGGTAAGCAACAGTTTAAACTAAAATTCCATTAAATGAAGACAAATAATAATTTTTTGGCATTAAAATTTATAAAACACTCAGAAATAGTTGAATCATCCTACAATACCAACAAGAGGGCAGCTGATGAAAGCAAAATCTGTATTGACTTAATAAACATTCAAACCACATAGAAGGAAGCAGTAAGTCTCGAATATGTGTTAGCAAACGTGGAGAACGGGAACCTCTATGCACATACTTCAGAGCACTGATTTAGAGAATAACACAACTTAGTTTGTCTTCTGATGACGACAGGCAGAGCCACACAGAGCGAAGAATCACTATTAGGAATCTGTGTGGTAAGGATATGTTCACTGTCTTGTTTCAATGTGTTAGTTTACTAATTTTTTACAATGCATATACTGTCACCGGTTTGAAAACAGTAAGGTTTTGTCTGGTCTCATTATATGGTCTCATTATATGGTCTTGTCTGGCCTTGAACTCATAGCAACCCTCCTGTCTCAGCCTTCTATGTGATAGGATTACAGATGCGAACCATCCAGCTAAAACAGGCTCCTTTTACTTGGGGGGCGGGGGTTTTTCTTTCCAAGCTGTTTTCTTTCCCAATGGGATGGAGAGCCACTGCACTAATTAGGGTTGCCTGCAAGAGCAGTCTGGGGTTATTTACTTGAGTAGAGCAACCTCAAACCACTGAAGAGCAGGACTCCCTTCTCCCAGCACCACTAACTGCCGATAGCTCCTTGAGACCTCAGAGAATCCCTTCACCCACAAAGGAAGGAAGTTATTTTTAATCATTGAAGTTGTATTCAAGGGAAACATTTAATCGAAGTTGGACTATCAATTCCCAGACAGCTGTTTCTCTGAATTTTCCTTTTACTTCAACCATGAGGAACAGGAGCATGGCCAGTGTTGAGAGCGAGGGATTTTTTTTCTTTATTCACAGACTGAATCAACAACTTGAGAAGGAACAGTTACAACAAAATTATCCCATCAAAACAACTCAGACCTCTAATCAAGCTTCTCCAAGGCTGAACCTGAGGATGGAAGAAGGGTTAGATAGAGGGAAGAGAGCATAGTGGAAGAGAATAAAGTCAACGTATATTGTACATAGGTATGAAATTGTGAACGAATACATCAACTTGAAAAACATAAAATTCCAACAATCAAGAACTGAGGGCAGTCCTAAGTGACATAGAAAAGCCTCCTTGATTAAAGGTGGAAGGAAATTAGAAAACTCAGTAAAAAGGGCAAAATTTAAGCTTCTACCTTAGA